ATGTCCTGAAGGGATATAATTAACTATACTTAAGCAGTTCCTGGGCAGCTGGGTGTAAAAACTCACATGTTCAGTGATAATTTAAGTATAAAGTTACATAAAAGACAAGATGAGGTGGTGGAGCGCACATCTGTATAGATCTATGGGAACTGTTTCTCCCACCCTGCCTGCCCTTCATTCATCTCTCCTGCTCCCCAGTCTGTCGCAAGAGGGGTGTGGGCAACCAGCGACATGGAGGGGGGGAGGGGGAGGGGGAGCCCTGCTTCTTAAGGCTTGCTATTGCAAAGGCAACGTGGAATAGTCTGCATTTTTCAGCACCTGAAATCAAATAAATTAGTCAAACGCGAAAGCTAGTTATTAGAACAGGTGGTCGTCAACCCCGCTCTGGGAGAGGAAAGGCGTTTGAAAGGCGCGGCAGCCAGGAGGCACTGAGGCCTCGTGAGGGGTCGGCGCAGGCAGTGAGGACACAGTCCCACCCCTGTGTCACCAGAGAGAGCCCGTCCTGGGGCAGGAAGCCGCCTGAACAGAGCCGCGGAGACGCGGGGGAGCGCACTGCACCTGTGCGTGTGTGAGTGCACACCTGTGCGTGCACACGTGTGTGTGGAGCTGCAAGTGACCAGCGTTGCCAACACATGACATTAGAAGGGCAGGGATGGAGGGCACAGTGGGGGAGTGAGCATGTCAGGCCGCGGGGCTCCACGCACCATTCTGACGGGTGGAATTGCATCCTCAAGGTCAGTGATGAAAGATGGGGTGAGGCCTGGCCTCTGTACACCGGGTGAGAACTGGGCTTGCCGTCCCCTGAAACAGGGAGGGCACCCAGCACACACAGCGCGGGCACTTACACACCCAAGTGAACCAGCAAGGGAAAGCCACGCGGGTGAGGGGCGCTGGGGAAACCGCTCGCAATCCCTGCAGCCTGGGGCCACGCGGAAGCTGAGCTGGGAAACCGGGGGACCTCGCGGTGGTCAGGAGCCCCATGGCCCTGGCACAACCACCACAAGTGAAGGCAGGGCACCCTCACCCCCACCGCCATCCTCTCTGGGAAAACAGGAAATGCCTGTGCTCAGGAAACAGGAATCACGTCAAGTAGAACAGACATGAGAGACGGGTGGGCTCCTCCATCTTCCAGGAGGACAGCCCAGGGGCTGGACCGGGCTGAGATGAAGCGGACCCCGGAAAGGGGCAAAATGAAGGCAGCACATGGAGCTCCAGGGAGACCCAGGCTGGAAGGACAAAGCACGAGGGAGAGAAGGAGACCCCAGCAGCGCCTCCCGGCTTCAGAGGGCTGATTGCAATAGGCCAGAAGAGAGGAGAGGGCAGACAGACAGACAGACAGAGCCCTGAAGGTGCTGCGGGAGGATGTGTCGGGGGAAAGTCACCAGGCCTGGCTCTCGGGGAAACGGTCTATCGGAGGGCAGATGGCACAGTGATGCTGCCAGGCGCTGCCTCTGATCTGACGTCTGTTCGTAAAGTGTTCTGGCCGTGCTCTGGGTGTACCCGGGACAGACCTCTTGTCCCTCCCCACTGTCTCCCCTGACTTCAGAGACTTCCCTGGCCGCTGTTCTCTGCTTCCTTCCTGACCCGTCTCCTCCCCCTGGCTGTTAAATACCAGCATTCCCCTGGCTCGCTCCTGCTCATCCTGCTCCTCCGAACTCTCTCCCTGAGGAATCTCACCTATGACCCCGACTCCAGTCTGTCTTCCAAGGAAGATGGCTTCCATGGTCTTATCTCCCACCAGATGCCTTTGATGAGCTCAGGATCAATCCTGTCTCTAACTGTGTTTCCATATGGCTGTCGTAGCTCAGAGTGAGGATAGGAGCACACCCCACCTGCCCTCACAGCCCATCTTCCAGGGCTCTCGAGTGGGTCCCCCGCATCCACCAGCATCCATGCAGATTCACAGCCGCCTCGTGTCCAACCCATCTTCAGCACGTGTTTCTCTCCTGCAGAGCGCTGGAATTCACCCACTCCCCTCCATCTTCTCGGACACCACTCTTGTTCATCAGGGCCTCCTCAAGGTCACTGCTCCCTGCTGCCTGCCCATTCCACACCACCTTGTCCCCAGCCATACCTCCCAGGCCCTTCCAAGCAGCACCCCAGGAGGCCAGCCACACTCCAGGTGGGGCAGACCCCACAGACCAGTGAGGCTTCAAGTCAGCTGTTAGCTGATGCTCAGTCACTCGGTCGACCCCATGGACTGTGGCCCACCAGGCTCCTCTGTCCATGGGATTCTCCAGGCAAGAGTACTGGAGTGGGATGCCATTCCCTTCTCCAGGGGATCTTCCTGACCCAGGGATCGAACCCGGATCTCCTGCACTGCCGGCAGATTCTTTACCTCTGAGCTACCAGGGAAGCCTGCTCTCAAGTTACGTACGCATCCAAAAGACAAACCCACTGAGATGACTTCATCTCAATTCTGGGACCTCTTGAAAATTCTCAAGGGAGCAGAATTTTTCTTCCTCACTGCTCAAGAAAGCAGCACTGGTATTCAGATGGCTGCCTTTGGACAAGCTGCCTGCCTTCCTCCCTCCATCAGGATCCTGGAAAGGACTCCAAGAGGCCCAGCCTGGAGTGGAACACAAACGGGCCAAGTGCTCTGCACCCCGGACAGAGCTTGCCTGAAGGTACAGGAACAAAAAGCTCATCCACTCAGAGTCCATCAACCAGTTGATTCAGGTTTTCTGTAAAGTAGAACTCTAGTTAACTGAAGGCAGAGGCTCTGGATAACCGCGGGGCTCAGCACATGTTCTGATGTCGTGAACAGCCTGTGAGTCAGGGGATTCGGGTTGTGTGCAAAATGAAAGTGTTAGTCGCTCAGTCGTGTCTGGCTCTTTGCACCCCATGGACTGTAGCCCACCAGGCTCCTCTGTCCATGGAATTCTCCAGGCAAGAACACTGCCGTGGGTTGCCACTCCCTTCTCCAGGACATCTTCCCAACCCAGGGATCAAACCCAGGTCTCATGCACTGCAGGTGGATTCTTTATCATCTCAGCCATCAAGGAAGCCCAGAGAAAAATGTGTAAATTCCTTTCTGACTCTCTGAGTTGTGGAATTCTCTTTAATATAGAAAGATGAAGGCATATGGAAGATGGGTTGGTTCTATTAATAATATATTTATTAAATGAGCTGAACACCTCACCCTGTTCTCAGGGGCCCCAGATGGATCCCCTGTCTCTGCAAATTTCAAGAATTCCCTTATTTTGTTTAGTAATCAGGAGTTAAACTAGGAAGAAAACAATCAGGTAAATAAATCTCTTTCTGATTGTCCCAAACCCACCCCAACAGACTTGAGAACCAGCAGGACACTCCCAGGACACCAACCCTCACATTCGTCCCTCCTCTTCCTAAACTAGGGGGCAGAGATGAGTTGAACACCCTAAGATACTGGCAAGTTCACAAGGGTCTAGAAAATCCTGAGAGTTCTTTCTCCTGAGACAAGCCTAAACTTCCCAGGGAATTGCAGAACCCCCACTGACCCAGCCTAGCCACCCACACCCCCACCCCCTGCCCCGTTCCCAGACACGCCGCAACTCCGCCAGCACCAGCTCACAGAGTCAACCGTGAATCTGGGGCAACTTTTCAGAATAATTGCTAATCACAGCCACGATGAAACAATGCACAGCTCAACATTGTTCTCACCCCTGCAGCAGTGTGAAAAGCTAAAAAATAAAATAAAAGACAGCACTGTTCCCATCAGGAGTGCTGAAGCTGAGAGAAGCTTCGTTTTGATCAACAGAACTTGAACAAACCCAGAGTGGGCAGCCATTTGTGCAGATCACGTGTCAGGTGGAAGGATGACAAACTCAGCGAGAAACCCAGGAGACCCAGAAGCAGCTCCATGCCGAGGCCTGGGGGAGCGGCACCCGGAGGCGTCTGCGGAGCCAGAGCCCGGCAAGAGTGCCCTGCGCCGCCCCGGGGGGTGCTGACTTACAACGAGGAGTGCGGTGGACTCGCCATTATTGCTAAGTTGTGTATTTCACAGCCTTTCCATCAGAAAGACTGACTTGCACACACACACACATTTTTCTGAGATCCAGCTGTTAAACGTTCGCCAGCACCTCGTGCCCACCCCCGGCCCCCACCCCCCGCCGCCTCCCACATACCCTTTCCTGATCTAAAAATACGTTTCCTGGTATCAGCGCCCAGAGAAACCCATCCAAGTTTCGAGGATCTTGGGTGAAGGAGGCATTGTCTTGCCTTGGAAATCTTCCAGAGACAGAAACATCCTTATTTAACTTTTTTTTTCCAAACCTGCCTGGGGCCGAGAGGGTCCCTGGCTGCTCACTGCGATTAAAATTATTTAAATCTTAAAGTTTATTAAAATTTCAGAGAAGAGCGTTCTTTCTGCAGTTTGTTGATGTGTGGATTTATAGGATGTGACTTGAAAGCAGTGACAACTGTATTTCTTGAAGCAGATTCCCTGGCTTTTGAAATAGTTGCCCCAAAAGCCCCTCATTCACACCAATCCCATTCACAGACGTTGGAATCCAGCGCCCCCCGCCCCCTTTGGACTTGACTTCAGGACAGTGTATGAACAACTTAAGTAACCCACCAAAAAAGATACTAATCCAGCATTATCATTCACTTTATCTACCCCCAAAGTTCCAAACAATGTCTACTTAATTATAAGAGGGAAGATCTAATTTCGGAATTAAAAAATTCGACACCACGGAGTGGGATGGCAAGAGAGACATTTTCTATGTAAGACATATTGTCTGAGCCAAAAATACAGCAAATCCTGGAGGAAATTCCAAAAGAAGTCCCAGAAATTCTTGAGCTGCAGACAATCATCTGAAAAAGCGTGTGAGCTCCCAAGGGGACGGGTGGTTTGGGAGGAGCTGCAGTGAGGAAGGTGGGGGGCTGGGGGCCTGGGGGAGTGCAGGGAGCTTGTGCTGGCATAAATCACAGCTGCCCCCCTGGAATGGAGGGGGCCCAAGCTGCCACATTCTCACCAGCCCCCACCCCGCTGCTCCCCTCTCTGAGGTTCGATAACCGTCTCACTGCCACACCGCCACCCTGTCTGCAGGGCTCCGGACACCAGCTCGGGTTTCAGAGAAGAGGGCCGGTTCTCCCCAGCTCCCTCTGCTCTCGGCTCCACGGGGCTGAGGCCCCGGGAACGTGACGGTGGGCCAGTCCAGGTGGGACCACGGACGGGGCCCATCCACGCACTCCCGGTACTCTCGCATTCTCCCCGTTAGGAACCCCAGGCCATCACCTGACAGGTGTCAGCCATGACCGTGACCCGGGCCTGCATCGGCTCTCCCCCGGCCCTCTGACCCGGGAGTGACCTGGAGTCTTCAGCTTGGACCCGAGCAGCGCCTTGGCTGAGAAAACCCAGCCAGCACACAGGTGGGCCAGCCAGCACACAGGTGGGCCAGCCAGCACACAGGTGCGCCAGCCACGAGCCTCCCTGCTCGGCCTGGAAGCAGGCGCTGACGTCAGATGAGCTCGCAGCTCACGGTCCAGCTCTCAAAGCCCCCAGCCCGCGGTCATCTCAGGGGAGGGCAGGACACCCTGGGGGGTGGTGGTGTGTTGGTTCTGAGCGTGTATGCACTGGCACACGTGTGCCTGTGCGTGTGCGGGAGCGAGGTAGCTCTGTGCTGCTGGCGGGGGTCTCATGGACGTCCTCTGGGGAGCCCAGGATGACCCCACAGCAAAAGCCAGGGACGGGGGCCATGGCCTGGGGAGAGAAGGCGGGCAGTCCCCCCGGCCGGTCGGGGAGCTGGCCTGGCACAGGCGCGGGGCAGCTCGGGCCCACCTGCCCGGACGTCCTTGTCGGGGTGCAGATGGAGCAGGAACTTCAGTGACACAAACCGCAGTGCTGAGCCACAGGTGGGCACAGCGGTCCTATCGGCGTGTCCCCACCGGGTCCCTGGCACCCACCAGTCATGACCCAGCTCAGGGCAGCTGGGGGGCCAGGCTCCGAGACGTCGAGGCTTGTCCTTGGATTCCTGACTCAGAGACCCAGGGGAGAAGGCGTTGCCCCCACGAAGGCTCAGTCTCAGTGTCTGCTTTCCCCAGTGCACCCGGGGCCCCTGGTAGTGCTGGGGGCCATGGAGATGACCCTGCAGGCATTCAGGGAGGGGAGAGGGGTCTGCAGGCTGCAAACCCCTTCACACACATGAGGGCCGAGAAGCTGCTCCCCTGTGTGAGGTGAATGGAAACTGCACACCCTCGCCCAGAGGCGGAGAGACTTCAACGTGCCGCACGAGGAAGACGCCCCAGTGAAACGCAGCATTAGGACACGGTCCACAGAAACATACTGTCACCGGAGCTGAAAACTCCCAGAGGGAACGCTGCATTTTCAAATCTAATGGCGATGAATGGCAACCTTTGAGATTAAGGTGAAAGAGCATCACATGAGCAGCAGTTAGGAAGTTGGCAGTCGCAGGATTGCTGTGGTCCTGATCGGGTGTCGGGAACTTTGGAGACCCCGGGTGTCGAAGATGAACTTGGTGTCACGTCAGGGCCCCAGGAGACGGCGGCTGACTTCGGGGGACAGCCCCTAAGCCGTTTCAGGGGGGTCTTGTCAGCGTGATACCAGGAGGGAGATATCGCCGCCGCTGCTGCTGCTGCTGCTAAGTCACTTCAGGCGTGTCCGACCCTGTGCGACCCCATGGACGGCAGCCCACCAGGCTCCTCTGTGCACGGGATCCTCCAAGCACAAACACTGGAGTGCGTTGCCATTTCCTTCTCCCAGATAGCGCCACGTCAGCCCCCATTTCAGCTCCCAGGGCCTCGGAGTCGGAGGGAGGACGAGGACCGGGTGGTCACACAGAACGTCCAGGGCTGTCCTCACTGAGGTCACGAGCAGCTTGTGTGCGGTCCTGAACCACACGCTTCATCTCAACCCGTATTTCCCGCTGCAGCTGCCTTCCCCTCCTGTGACCTACTTAAACACACCCGCTACCTCCGTCAGCTCTGCCGTGACAGAAGAGCAGGCGGCGCAAACAGCAGACATTCACTCTCACAGCCCGGGCTGGCCGCCCAGGGCCGAGGGGCCGGTCGGTTTGGCTCCAGCCGAGGGCTCCCTCCTGGCTTGCAGATGGCCCTCTTCTCCCTGTGTTCTTGCTTGACTTCTTTGTATGGAGACAGACAGACAGACAGACTCTGAGGTCTCCTCCTATGAGGACACTGAGCCCCCTGGATCAGAATCCCACTTGGAAACCCCACCTCCAAATCCAGCCACGGTGGGTTAGGCTCCGAAACATCAATGTAGATTTCAAAGCACAGAAACCTCAGCCCCTGCCACGTGCGTAAAGTAAGGAGACGAAGCCAAGGACATGTTGCCTTTTGCAGAATGAGTCGCTCTTTCACAGCTCTGAGTCAGAGAGACCCTCCTAAGGTGCTCAGCCAGGGGCCCCTCCCAAACACACGCAGAATCCAAGTGCACCCTCTTCTCTCAAAGCTGTAGCTTGCTTCTCTGCTTTCTGAGATGGGACGGGTTCTCCAAGGAAGCTGGGCTCTTCAGCACCTGGCCAGGTGCCTAGGTCCCGGGTCTGAGCCCTGGCTGCTCTGCCCTGTGGTTCCAGCCTGTGCATCAGGAATATTCACATGTGGCAGAGATGGAGGCCGGGATTCCGTGTGATGACTCTTGCTCCACGTACGCGTTCAGCTGACATTCCACGTGATGACATCATTACTCCCACTCCACATACATGTTCAGTCTCAGGACGCGAAGGATCTGCGGCTCGGGGAGACGTCCGCGTGCCTCTGATCTGATAGGATGGGCTGGGGCGGGCAGCCGGGTGCCCCTTGGGTGGCCTGCAGTCCCAGGTGCTGGCTGAACATCAGGTGGTTTCCGGATAAACAAAGAGCCCTTTCAAAAACGGCTGCCTGGAGACTCCAAACGTCTACCACACCCCAAAGGGTGAGACCTCAGAGCTCTGATGACAGAGCAGAAGGGCTGAGAACGGGGGCTGTTGGTCCAGCTTCAGAGCCCAGGGCGAGGTTCCCCGTAGCCGTGGACACCCAGCCACCTCGGACGGCCCTGGATGCTCAGGGGCCCCCTGCAGCTGCTTCCAAGAGGGGTCCTCCCGGGGGCCCTGAGAGAGCCATTCAGGTGCTCACACAGGAGAGCTTTGGAGACGATACGTCAGCACGTAAACAGCAGGCTCTTGTCGGGGAACCCGCCATCTAAGGAGCATGCTGGCCCATCCCTTCTCCAGCGGCCCCGCCTCCCCAGCGCCAGGTCCAGAGGGGCACTGGGCTCAGCCTCAGCTCCGCCAGGCTCCACGCGCCTCCTGTGAGGCTTTGGCGGGGGCCAAGGGGCCGGGGGCTTTGCCACCGGAGGACACAAGCCGCCGAGCCGGATGGAGCGGTCCCTGCCCCGTGACTCCGCAGCCAGCGTTCTGGGTAGAATAAGAGCAAATGGAGACAAAGCAGAAATTGCATGAGCACCTCACTTTCTAGAACATTCTCTGCCCTAGACACGCTCCTGCAAGTCATGCAGGGTGAGCACCAGTTCGCAGTGGGACCCTGCCCAGTCCAGCTCATGGCAGGACCCCGCCGTCCAGGCTGAGGCCGCATGGGCATCAGAGCTGAGCCTTGGTGGCCGGCTTGTGCCTTGGCAGGAACGCCCCCCCAATGAAGCAGCACTTCCCACATTTATTCGTCCTAAGTCAGAGTCTGCAGGGACCAGGGAGCTCGTGTTCACACTCCTGACTCCCGCACTGACTGCATCTGTGACGTTCGGTGAAGACCAGGCTCAAAGACACAGGAGACCCAGGGGCCACCAGTCCCCCTACGATCCTTGCCTCCCCTTTCACAAGCCCCCTTCCTCTCACAGGGAGGCCAGGGGGCTTGAGTTTAAGCTCGAAGACCCCATTAGCATGCCGACATCTGTCCAGAGGCAGTGAAGGCTGCCCATGATGGTGTTCGGGAAGAAGGGGACTTCATTGGCTTCTGCTTGTTTATTTTGAAAACAATTGTCTGTCTCCTCCATGGTGGGGGAAATGGCTATCTCGCCCTCGGCAGACTTTGTGAAAGGCCAGCACACTTTTGCAGTCACTCCCTGAGGCATGGCACCAGGCTGTCTTCAAGGACATTTTCTTTCACTGCTTCGTGGACCAAGCTGTGGACACGCACGAGACGGCAGCCGTGACCCAGGCTTTGGGACGGAGGCTGCCTGTGAATGAGCCTTGCGTGTCATTGCCGTGTGTACGAGGCTGTCCTTGCTGTTCAGAGACACAGCTTTCCCCAGAAGATTGTGTTTCTATTTACGGCTTCTTACACGGCCTCTTTGCCACCTCCTCATCCCCCGCCTGATGCTGCAAAGCTGGAAAGGGAGAGAACCTGCATGTGTGAATTCTGCACCTGGCCAGCCTGCTTGCCTTTGTGTCAGCATTTGACGCCTGCACAGCCCTGGGCTTGGGGAGCCCCCTGGGTGGGGGGCTGCAGGAGGGTCCAGGGGGCACGTGAGTAGCGGCAGCTCGAGGGCCCGGGGCCCAGGGAGGGCGACTGGGGCTGCGGGCGCTCAGCCCTTCCCACGGCAGCCAAGCGCATCACACTGAACCTCCAGCACGGGCAGACAACTGCCCGGCTGGCCCGGCGCCCTCACCAGCCGGCCAGACAGGTGTCCCCTGCTGTCCCACGGCTCCCCTTCCGTGTCCCTGGCTGGCGGAGGTGGAAGGGACAGGAGCTCAGTCAGACAGGAAGTAGTTGATCTCCTGAGCACATTTTTCAAGAGTGGCACGTTTTCCAGAAGCTGCTTCAGAGGCCATGCGTTGGCATGGCAACCATGAAGGTTAGGATGAGGAGGTATTAGGGGAGGCAGGGTGAGCCTGAGGCTGGCAGGGCGTGGGAGGGTGATAGCCTCCGCCCTCTGGGCCTGGGGGACAGCCCGCCCCCTGCAACCCGGATGGTGGCAGCCCCACGCAGACCCAGGGAAGGCCCGCCTCCTTCAGTCTTCCTGGCGGGTGGGGTGGGCTTGGACTCCTTCATTCACAGGAAAGAAGGGGGCAGAGACCTGCAGAAGTGCTAGTCTTGAGATGGGGGGCTCACCTCCCCAGCCACAGGCCTGATGGGGCCCCCGTCCCTGGAAGGAGCCCCAGCCAGGCCGCACTAACTGCCTGGAGGCACATGAGCCTTTTGCAGGCGGGGAGCCCACTACCTTCCGGATTGTGGGGCCCAGGGTGTGTCTGGTCCCTTCCACCTGGAACTCGTCACAGCAGGGACTGACCCTAGAGGGCTGCCTGCATCGGGGACCGCGGGCTCACTCCTCTCCACCCAGCCCTACACCACCCACAGGAACGTGGCCCCATTCATGGGCAGTGACACGCAGAACCTGCAGCAACCAGGGGCCCAAGATGGAGGAGGCTGACCTCACCCCCTCCGGCAAGTCCCGGGGGTCCCGCAGGTTCCTGGGCTGGCCAAATGCCCCCCAGGGGTGCTGGACACAGAGATATGCTCCACAGGCTGTGACCACGCGTCTCAACCTGCAGCCCCAGAGGAGCAGCGGCCCCCCCGCGCCCGACACGAACAGGTTCTTCTGAAGCACAGTTAAAGGTAGAGACGAGGAGCCTTCCTCAAGGAGCCGGCAGGAACCCTGGGAGAAGCCAGCTTTCCCTTGACCACGCCAGGGTGCAGCTGGGAAGAATCCATAGCCATCACCCCACTAAAACCCAGCTTCCTCCGAAGGCTCGCCTCCCCTGCTCCAGGGCCCCCATCCCTGAGGACACCGCCTAGCTCAGCATCCTCACGCAGACACACTGCTCCATCAGAACAGCTGGTCTGGAGCTGTGACTTTCCTCTTCCCTGCAGACTCCCTGCAGCAGGAGCAGTGACCGAGACTGCAGGATCTCCAGGAGGAATCTGGGTGAA